AAGGGCTAACCTGTGCTCCAAACCATCCAACACAAAATCCTTCTCCATTCTTGATCTCCCACCAAAGCTCACTCCATCGGCATCTGTCTTTGGCATCATAAACCGAGACGCTGGGACTGGATTTATCATCTAATTATAGCAGAAGTGGAAAAGGGAGAATAAAAAAATGATCGGAGGTATGGAATGCCGTCCATAAAAGGAGATGATCCAATGTTTGCAGTACATGGGATTCAAGTGGAATCCCGTGGGAGGGAAACGTAGAGAAGCCCGGCTGAGCGAATGCCTACGTGGTCCACAGGGGCGGCATTTCTTATCAGGCTGCGCGGTGACTTCCTTTGTGGAAACCAGATGGGGGCAGCCCTCTTACGCCTTAGCCTCCTTCAGGTGCAACCCCAAGGAAGTTTAAAAGGCCTATGACACCCAGAATGCCCCAGCAAGGAGGAATGCTGGCAGTTGTTGCTTTTCTCCTGTCTAACTTTGCATAGGACTGTAACTTCAGTGGCCTTTAGATGCTTTGATTTGGCCAACACTGGTTGAAGTCAGAAGATGGGGTTGGTGAATGCAGTTGTCTTCACTCTCTTTGAGGTTTCGTCAGGACGGGTCTTGGTGGAAGGGACCAAGAGCCCATTTAGAAGAATGAACAGATATTCCTGCAAGCAAAAGGCTTCCCCACTTTTTAAAGCAATGCATGTCGTTGTTGTTGTTGTTAGTTGCGAAGTCGTGTCCAGCCCATCGCGACCCCATAGACAACATTCCTCCAGGCCTTCCTGTCCTCCACCATCTCCCAGAGTCCACCCAAGCCCAAGCCCACATCCAGCCACCTCAGCCTCTGCCATCCCCTGCTCCTTTTGCCGTCAGTTGTTCCCAGCATCAGGCTCTTCTCCAGGGAGTCCTTCCTTCTCATTAGGTGGCCATTAGTTGAGTTTCATCTTCAGGATCTGGCCTTCTAAAGAGCAGTCAGGGTTGATCTCCTCTAGGACTGACCGGTTTGATCGCCTTGCGGTCCAAGGGACTCGCAGGAGTCTCCTCCAGCACCACAGTTCAAAGGCCTCAGTCCTTTGGTGCTCAGCCTTCCTTATGGTCCAGCTTTCACAGCCATACATTGCAACTGGGAAAACCATAGCCTTGACTATACGCACTTTTGTCGGCAGGGTGATGTCTCTGCTTTTTAGTATGCCGTCTAGATTTGCCATAGCTTTCCTCCCCAGGGGCAAGCATCTTTTCATTTCTTGGCTGCAGTCCCCATCTGCGTTGATCTTGGAGCCCAGGAAAATAAAATAAAATCTATCACTAAAAGCAATGCATATCTTCATGCAAAGTGCCCACTTTTCAAAATGACTGAATTGCACCACTGGGGCGTTGTCATGCCTGCCCATCACCGGGATCCTCTTGGCCCTGGATGCTCAGCAACCCATCCTTTGGCAATGCCTTCCATGGCTTCTTTTCCTCCCTGTGGATGGCCCTCTTTTCCCTTGTCAAAAATGAGAAAAGGATTGGCAATACCCCAGCCAGGAAACAACGCCAAACCCAAACCAAGAAACACCAAACTCTCACGCTGGGCAGAAGATGTGCACAGGTGGCCAGAGTCTCTCTTCCTGCAGAGCTGTATCTTGAAACTGGACCGGGACCAAGTGGTCCTGATGTAAAGGGATGCTTGCAGCTAGAGGGCAGCCCTCTGATTGGCCGCTCTGTGTGGACTTGTCCAATCAGGTCCAAGGAAGAAGGCATCTCTGAGCTTGGAGGTCACACAGCACCCGCTCTTCCAAGGTGGTGAGTGCATCTCTGTTCAGAAAGCGACTGCAATGGTTTGGCTACCTGCCCGCCACCTTCTACTAGATGCCGAGACTTTACCCTGCTCTAATCAGTGGTGCTGAGTCACTTTGCTGGTGTGTGTCCCTCTGTTCCCTTCATTCTCCCAGACTTCCTGGCCCTCACAGCAGGGAGAAATTAAAAGAACGCTTGAAAGTGGGACCTGGAAAAAAAGGAAAAGGGGGGGGGACCCATCTTACACAATTAAGCCCCCCTCCCCAAATCAAAACAAAATCCTTAGCCTTGCTGGTTTATCTTCAGTTCAGTCTTTGCTTCCATTTTCAATTGATGATTTATTGTTTTTGGAGCATGCGGAAAACAGTCTCAGAAAGCCCTTAAAATTCAGGGCAGTTCTTAATGTTAGGGGACACGAGCAAGAGAATCCGGGGTCTTTTAAGGCTCTGCAGCATTTTGCATGGGGGGGGGGGTTGCAATAGGAGAATCAGGGACCACACAGACACAAAGCATAATTGTCAAAGAAGAAGAGACTCAGAAAGCCCTGTCTCCACTCTGATGCGATCGTTTCAGCTGAGGAGACAGGGAAGGAATGGGTTTCTTGCCCATTTCAATGTATACCTGTCTGATCTGCAGTTCCCAAACTAATATGTCAACCGAACAACAGCTATCTTTCAATATCTATCTATCTATCCATCCATCCATCCATCCATCCACCCATCCATCCAACCATCTATCTAATATACTTTCTAATTATTTTAAAATCTCAATATTAGCTGTTCCCTGAATATTATGCTAGAATTCAAATTCAAAGTATGCAAACCAAATGTGCATATTAGGGAAAAGCTCAACACCACACCTTAGTGAAATCAACAGAAAAATACATTATGTTCTGGAAAGCCGCTTGCAAAAATGTGTTTCTAAGGCACAATGGCATAGACAAATGTGTACGTGCAGAGAATGCTTGTAAACAGAAGCATGTAAACATTACCAACACAATTTCATGCAATTGTGATGGTAAACCATCCTGAGAGTCAGTGATTAAAAGGAACGGTGTAAAAATGTAGTAAATACATAAATGGTCCCAGGGCTCAGGACCACAGGAGAAAACAAAAACAAATGCAAAGCACACACAAATTTACATATGCTCACTGTGTGTCCGTCTGTGTTTGTGCTGTAAGAATCCTGTCCCTAAGGATACTCCTCTTAGTAAAAAGGGATGCATGAACAGAGAAGAGGACGGCACTTGATTACTGAAAATAATCTCATGCAGAAAAGCTTGCGGGGGGGAGCAGAGACGAAGCACCCCACTCCTCAAACACACACATTTGCTACCAGAGGGGGATCTGATGGGCCCGAGCTCATCAAGTAAAATAAAGGGGCCCTGGGCAATAGGGTGGTGGGGTAGATAGCCCTCCCCTTGAGATCTGGGATCCCAGCTCTTTCAGAACACCCCCTTTCCTGGCCTGCAAGTGTTCTGCAAACTTAAAAAAACCCCTCAAGCTGATGCAGAAATAGGACAGAAAAAAGTAATACAGGTGAAATGAGAAATGGGGAGAGTTTCCTTTGTTGGTCAGTATAAGTAAAATAAAACCAATAATTTATAGCAATAATTTGTCAGATGCATCTATTCCTAGTTCAGTGCCACCAAGTATTATGTATTATGACACTATCCACTCTGAAATGTTTCTGGAAGGATGCTATGCCTAATTATAGCTACCCAGAGCAATCCAGGGAAATGGATAACAGGGCTGAAAACAGAGTTGCTACTCAGCTGACACTTTGTTTATGGCTTTGGATGTAATTGTGGGTGATTGTCCTATCCTCCATTTGCTGAACTGTTTGCTGTGCTACAGCTTGGCTTTTCCTCTCTTTTCTTTTTTAAACAATCATTAAATAAGCCTTATAAAGTCTACTGTTCAGCCACTTAGCATAAAGTTCTGGTCAATGCACCTAAAAATGGGTATTGTGGAAAAGTCCATGGAAGGGCACCCAGAATCAGAGGGCTGAGGTACGTAAGCTCCTTGTGCAGAAAGGCCTGAGATGGTTAACCCAGAAAAAGTGTGAGTAAAGAGGGACAGGACAGAGGTATGCAAAATAATCTAGGGAGAAATTTTTCTCCCTCTCTTATCATACTAGAATCCAAAGGGGCCATCCCATAAAACCGATTAGTGGGAGATTTAGGGCTGATCAAAGGGAAGACTTCTTCACGGCCACCAGTTTGAAGGGATTTAAAAAAAGACTGGGCCAATTCATGGAGGATAAGCTATCAATGCTTCTAGTCCTCGTAGCTCTGTGCTATCTCCAGCATCAGAGACAGTGGGCTGATGTACTCCAGTTGCGGAGGAACATGGGTACGAGGCTGCTGTTGTACTTCTGGGATCCTGCATGCAGCCAATTGGGCAGTGTGTTAACAAAATTCTGGGCCGTGGGTGTGATTTTATATTCTTAGTAAAGGCAGAGTCCTATCCATGCTTCAACTTTAAAAAGGAACATCTAATGGGTTATGTAGGCCTTTGTTTCCTGTCCAACCCCCCTTTTTTCTGTCAAAACTTGATAGGATTGTACCCAAAACATTTATTTTGATGTGTGATTTTTCATTTTGTAGTTTTAGCTTGTTTGCGTTTCATGATGCCCATTGCTTCTATTTTGTTATCTGTCATGGGCTTCCACAAGACAGGGAAATCCTATATAAGAGTGCAGAATATATATGTATAAAAGATCCTATATAGGAATGCAAGAAGAAAGCCGTTTCATTAAATTTCATGGAACTTACTCCCCAGTCAGTGGGTCACTTTACACCGAAAGTGTAGGTCTAAAATTTGCACATGCAATTTTCTTCTTCAGCACAGCTGTCTAAAGTACAGGTCAAGAGCATGGGGGTGATCTATGGGGGGTGGGAACACCCCTTCTGCCTCCTTTCAATCGCCTTCCACCATCCCTCTCTCTTTCTGACACCTCCTCTTTCTTCCCCTCACCTGGGCTCTCCAACACCCCCTTTCTCGCTCCTTCTTTCTGAGATTCCTTCTCTCTGTGTTCCTTTCCTGCCTACCAGGGGCTTGCAGGTTGTAGTTGTGAGGATAAAATGGAGCGAGGGAGAACTTTGTAAGCTGCTTTGGATTCCTCACATGAGGAAAAAGCATGCTATAAATCCAACAAATAATGTTGCATTGTTCAGACCAACTTCCCCCAACAATGCCACGCTTCTCCTCTGATGGTTTGTTTTTAATTTCTAGGCCCCCAAAGTGGCAAGACGCAAGAAAGAAGGAGGTGGCTCAAATGTATTCTCCATGTTTGAGCAAAGTCAGATTCAGGAATTTAAAGAGGTAGGTCTAATGGTCTACAGATGGTCTTTTGCCAGTTAAAGATTTTCATTATGATTCGGCCTTCCTTGGATGGTTCTGTAGATATGGCGAGGGTTCCCAAACAGTGCTATGAAGAACTAAAAATAAATAAATAAATAGTGGGGGTGGTGGGCTTCTAAGGAGGGTCACTGCAGGTGGAGCATCACCTGTGGTTGCACACCCCACAATTTCAGATCGGCCGGGGCGGTTCTGCTTGTGCCGCCCTTGAGAAGCTGCCTGTGGGGCCATCACATGGTGCAGGGCCTTTTTGGTGTGGCCCTGCTGCTGTGGAAGAGATTTAGAGAGCCCTACACTATTGTTGTTTGGGTGCCAGCTAAAGATGCATTTCTTGGTGGGAGCTTTTAAAGACTAGACAAACGTTTTCTGGTCTTGCACCGATGGTTTGGTTGGGCTGCCTCATGTACCTGTAATTTTAGAGATACGATTTTCATGGCATCGATAGGTGTGTTCGTTTCATGTGCTTGTGGCTACGCTTGGGCTCCTTGTGAGGAAGGGTGGGATATAAATCAAGAAATAGATGCAACTGAGCTAAACAGCAAGCCCAACGGATTTCAAGCGCTACGCGGCGTCTTGAGTTTCCAAGCTGTCAACGCAGATTCATGCAGGTTCGGTGCTTCTGCGTGGCCATCAGAGCAAGGCATCAGAGACCTGCGCATGGGGCACACGTGCACCAAGCAGTGCAACCGGCACCTCTGAGTCTGGCGCTGGTGGGAGCCATGCCTCTGGCCTGCAGCACCCTTGCGTGAAAGCACCCAGGCCCGTGCAGTCCTCGCGGCTGCTTGACGGCGCTTCGCCTCCAGCGACATTCTGCCAGTGCACAAGCATTTCCCGAGCCTGCAGCAGGTGCTGCGGACAGCAGGAAGCGCAAATCGTGGAATGGGGGGGGGGGTTGGAAGGGGCCACCCGCTGCTGGTGCAGGACGCTGGTTCTACCATCCCACTCACTGAACTGCCCAGCTCCTTCTTGAATGTCCCCCGTGGGAGATCCCAGAAAGGATCCCAGAGATCCTGCATCTACCGGAATTCCCTCCCACTTCCATGCAATCTTTTCATCCAACATCCCCTCCCAATTCTACAAACTGCACTGGGAGTCTGGAATTCACCCAGTAACACTCCCTTTCCCTCTGTCTCCTGCATCTTAGTAACAAGAGCATCATTTTCTATAGCATTCCCAATTTCTCTCTGCTCACCTCCACAGTCCCTGTCAGTTAGCAATACGGTTTCATACAAACTGGCAGCCGCAACAACCAAAACTGGGTCCAGTGAGGAAAGACCCCTCTCGCTTTGTACCTCATCAGTTTTATTGAAAGATTACCCAGGACCCCTTCAGGATGCTCCCGGGTCGTGCTCTGCACTGCCAACTACAAGGTTTTAGAGCATATACAGAGTATTTTATAGATTCTGAGTCACATGGGCCCAGCGGCTGGGCAGCCAATGACAAAATAAGGTGATCATAGTCAGAAGCAGGTGCCAGGTCTGCAGAGGGGGCTCAGTACAATGGCTTTTGATTGCAGGATACTAACATAATGGTCATGGGATTACTGTGGGTCTTGGCATGCAAATTATTATTATTATTATTATTATTATTATTATTATTACTACTACTACTACTACTACTACTACTACTACTACTACTAGAACATTTCTATGAGGGTGATTGCAATGCAGGGCCGTCTTAAGGCATGGGCCTGTTGGGCACTTGCCTGTGGGCCCCATGCTAATCTGTGTATGTTAACCCTTGGAAAACTTCCAAGATCAACAGTAGTTGTAGTTGTTGTAGGGGCCCAGGACACTGCTTTGCCCGGGGCCCGTCATGCTGTTCAGACAGCCCTGTTGCAATGCTGTTCACCTGCCAGCCTGACCAGCTCTTACTGATCGGCAAAACAGCCCCAGCAGCTTCCTGGGGGAGCCACCAGGTCCCACTTCTTAAAGTAACAGCACATGCCAAATGCTTGGAATTTTTGGGCGCTTCCTGAGAAAAGGGTGCAGGCATTTTATAACACAAAGACACAATAAGCAACGGTTCTCTGCCAGGATTTATCTGAACTTCCCCAACAATATCAAACCCCCAAGTTTCTGCACAACTCCATTTCAGCAGTTTTGTGTTTGCAAATTGTGTTTGTGGGGCACCAATTTTGTAAGACTGGTAGATTCTACGGGGCTATTTGTTTCCTAAGGAACACTGCAACACACCCTAACATACAAAATAAACTGCTTCTTATCAACCATTTCACAAAAAGCAGCACGGACAATTATAATATATAATAATAACAACAACAAAAGCGCCCAATCTATGGAATGCGCTCCCCAGAGAGGTCCGCCTGGTGCCGTCGTTATTTGTTTTTTGGTGCCAGGTCAAGACCTTTTTATTTAAACGTTATTTTAATTGCTAATATTATTTATGTATTTTACATCTTTGTCCAGGACGTCTCCAATTATATTGTTTTTATATTATTATTTACTTATTGTTGTGAGCTGCCCCGAGGCTTTGGCGAATGGGGCGGCATAGAAGCTTTCTAAATAAATAAATACATAAAATATTACAATCCGTGCACCTAAGTCCCTGGCAACAAATACAAAGAGCATTGGCTGGAAAGCTGCAAAGGTCAAAAGTCCTTTCGGCCTCCCACTGTAAGGCTTCATTTCCAAGCCCTGGATCATCTTTGCTGCCCCTCCTCTGAACTCTCTCCAGATTTTCAACATCCCTTTTCATCCCTTTTGGGTGCCCAAAACTGAACACGGCGTTCCTGGCGAGGTCTGACCAGCGCATGCACCGCCAAAAGGTGGAGGCGCTGGTTTGCATGGAATTTACATGTGCTCATTGCTGCTCATAGATGTCTGTTTAGAATAAAGCATTAGAATTTAAATAGTGCGGAAGACAGTGATAAGTCAGTCCAGTCTGGGTTCACCTGAGAGGTCCAGGTTCTAGTCCTCACTCATTTATGAAGCTCACAGGCTGACTTTTGGCCAGCCACTGACTCTCAGCCTAACCTACCTCGCAGGGTTGTTGTGAGGATAAAAAATGGAGAGCTGGAGAACTATGTAAGTTTTCCTTGGAGTCCTTGAAAGAGGAGGAAAAGGAGCATTTAAACGTAATCCTGTAAATAAGAACTTTGCACCTCTTTTTATGGTCTTTTATCTTTAAAGTGGACTTAAACTTGACAGCCCTTTCAAAACAGAGGAGCATCTTCTACAAAAAAGGATGCACGACCACCCTAGATAGGGCCTAGTATTACAATCTTGGCTGCAGCATAGTGAACTTTTCAGTGAACAGACTGGAAAAGCGATCTGATAAACAATCTGTTATTTACAGAGCAGAGCAGATGGTTCCCAAATAATGTACAATTAAAAACACAGTTAAAACTCAATTCACTAAATCACTGATTAATAGATGCAGGCTTAACACTCTAATGTGGGGCCACAGCTATTAAATAGTAGGGAAACAGCTCTCGCTTGAGGTGTAGCATATGCATAATAATACTCTTTCCATCCCATGCCCCGTCGCTGCCTTTGGAAACAGTCCAGAAATTTCAGTTGGCCCAGAAGTGGGTAACAAGATGGTAAAGAGGGAATGGCCAATTTGATTATAATATACCAGCTCTTTTGCATCTGCACTGACTGCCAGTTCAGGTCTAGAGCTGGGATTAACATTCGGTGGTGTAACAGTTTGGAAGCTGCTTTTTGGAAAGATCAACTCCTCCCATCCATGGCCTGCTGGGATCCCAAGAGCTTCTCTAGCAGTTTTTCCAAGGGATCCCCAGCTAAGGAAAGTCAGAGGGAGGCTACAAAGACGAGGGTCTTTTCTGTTGCGGCACCCCAGACACAGAATGAACTCCTGCAAAATGGGCTCACCAAGCACCTGTGTTGCAGATGAAGCACTCCGTATTTTCCCAGGAAGACTCCTGGGATTTGTAGATTTCGTCTCTTTTAAATGTTGCTCTGTATTTCAGGTCTTTGTGTTGCTGCTAGGTTTTACTCTAGTTTTCACTATATACCTTTTTATACTGTATTTTATGTCTTAAATGATTCTAAATGGTTGTAAATGGCCCAGAGAGCTTCGGCTATTGGGAGGTATAAAAATGTGGTAAGTGTTTAGACAGACAAAAGGCAGTGCTGGGAACTACCAGACTTTACTTCTGTCTAAACATGCAAACATATTCAGGTGTTACTCAGCATCGGGGGGAAAACACAACACAACACAACACACTCGGTACAATGCTGTGCATCGCACCAGCTCTTGCAGCAGCAAATTCAATGGCTTAACTCTCTGTGGTTGAATATATGTGGGAAAAGGTGGTTTTGCTGCTATAAGAGAGGGTTAGGAGAGGAGGTGGGGAAAGATTGTTCAGTTTTATGCTTTCAACCTGCTGCATGATGAGGAACACATCTATCCTCTGAAAATCAGCTTCTCTGAATTTTGCAGTAGGGCTACCCAATCAAAAATATGTATGTTAGGAAAAGCAGCACTAAAGATGCTTTGGGTTAGGTCTCCTGCGTCCAGGTGAGCTGTGGAAGCAGCAGCCGTGCCGTGGAAGGGGCCAGCTGTCTTCCAGTTGGCGAGGCCTGCTTTACTTGGTGTCTGAGCCTCCCTCCAGCTTGCACCACTGCTCTTCCAGTTCTGGCCAGTCACTGCACTCCTTGTCCCAAAGGGCACCTGCCTTGCTAAACCACTTTTCAAACCGCCAAAGCACTTTGTCTTTAAAGGGCAGGTAACCAGGTTGCGTGTCCCTCACCTTTTTGGTATCCCACCTCAAAATGTTGGGCTGGGCCTGGGGCCAAAGTCCTGGGGCCCTTCAAGGCTGAGATGCAGATACCCTGCAGTTCCCTGGGCTGGGCTCGCCCTCACCCAGTTTAACACCTCCTGTCCTGACAGGGGGAAGGTGAGCTCCTGACACACTCCACCTGGAGCGGGCAAGGGCTGTGTCTTCCATCGCGCAACCGGGGTGGGTTGTGGGAGCAATCTTGTGTTTCCCTCAACACTGCGCGATGGGCTGATGGTTTGTTGCTGCACAGGAAAGCTGCAGTGGGCATGAGAGAAGCCAAGCACAAACCCAGGGAAATTCTGGTGGCTGTTAGACAAGTCTCGGCTGGGATCCAAGCCATCTGAACGGTTTGGAGCCAAGAGCATTGGCCTTGGCCCAGCTCTGCACTATTTCACAATGTGATATTGGGTTAGGTTCAAGAAAACTGCTTGCCAAGAGAAATATGTGATTTAGGAGTCAATAGTAGTCTGGCAGTATGAATTAAGGAGACATCAGAATGATTACAATGTATCAGGGGCTATCTTGATTACTTAATTAGTGGGGAATGAAAGAAGATTTGTAATGGGTCCTCACCACCTAAGTCTTAAGCAATCCAGGCAACGATCCTCGGTGTGTTTAGACAGAGCAAAAGCCCTGCGATTCCCAGTCTTCAGCCTTCTTGGGGTGGATGGTCACAGGTCTTCGTCAGCCCATTCCAAGCGTGATTTTCTCTTTGGAAAATCCCTTTCTAACAATTCAGACACGCACAGACTACTGCTTACCCATGAAGTTCATCTCCTGAATATGTGGACACCACTAATTTTGGAGTGGCCCTGTTTCTCTTCCAAACTGTTAGTCATTCAAGCATCTGAGTTCAGTACTGGGGGGTATGATGCTCGGTGTCCACCTAAGCCATTTTGCCTGCTCCAGGGGAGGACAAACAGAAGACCACCAGAAGTTTGCATGCTATTTCTCCTTTGCATGGTGTTTCTAACAATCAGCCCTGCTGGCAGAAGCTTCTGGGAGCTGAAGCCTCAAACATCTGGATGTCTACCTAATACCCATCATGGGTCTAGGCTGATGAAAAGCAGATATCCATATGCCCTTTGAAAGCTGAGAGGTCAGTGATGGGGGAGCTTCTAGGTGGATCCCAAAATAGTAGAGTTGGAAGGGGCCATGAAGGCCATCAAGTCCAACCCAGGTGGACTCTCCCAAGGATTGTTCACCCTCATTTTTTCTGCCTAACTCTGGGAAGTCACCAGTTCCATTTGTACCTTTAGGAGATGGTGACATTTTCTTAACTGGGTTTTCTAGCATTGCTCTTCCCCAGAGTTCAGGTCCCTTCTCATGTTCTGGAGAAGAGAGAGGCCTCATGTGCCTCTCCAGATGTTTTGACCTACAATTGATTCTGCTGGCTAGAGCTGTAGACCAAAACATCTGGATGGTCACAAGTCACCCATCCCTGCTCTCGAAGTTAAGTCTTGGAATAAGGATTGGATGTAACTTATCATTCCACCTCTTACGGTATATTTTAAATTGTTGTGGGACTCACACTTTTCTAGCCTACCTTTAACAAAAACACTCCCCTGATACTTAAATTGGTGGAGGAAAGATAATCACAATGAATGGCTATTGGGCGATTTGCCATGCTGGCCAGGGAAGATGGGAACTGTGGTCCAACACATCTAGGAGGAAGTGTGGCAGAGGCACAGGAGAGGTTTCAGTTCCATGCAACTGTGGTGGGGCGTTGGGGCAGCGCTCATTCAGTGAGAATTGTGTGGCACAATATTTTCGAGACTTGGCGGGCATGGGACCCTTTTGACTCGCTCTCTTTCCGCGTTTCTATGTTCCTCTATAGGCCTTCACAATCATGGATCAAAACCGAGATGGGTTCATTGACAAGGCTGACCTGAGAGACACTTTTGCTGCACTAGGTGAGAAAGCAAAAATGCGCTGTGTGCCAACCTTATCTTATAAGAAGCTCTTCAACACATCGCCACCACCTGTTTCTGTCAAAGGGGAGGGGAGGATAAATATACATCAACATGCCAAAGTCTGTGGAGGACCCTTCAGTTAGGAAGAATGGTGCATCAGAGACGACAGTGGGACCGGCTGCCTGGTGAGGTGGGGGGCTCTCCCACACTGGAGGCATTCAAGGAGAAACTGGGCAGCCACCTGAGTGGGGTGGTGTAAATGGGTGTCCTGCAACAGCAGGGGGCTGGACGCAATGGCCTTCTTGGCCCCGTCCAGCTCTACTGTTCTGTGATTCTATGACATATTCTCCTCTTTTGCTTTTAGGTGAAAAATATTTTCAGCTGAAAAATAAATATTTCAGGAAGAAGCAAATATTTATTTATTTATTTATTAAAACATTTTTATGCCGCCCCATTCACCGAAATATTTTCCTCAAATGTGTTGGATACATGAGCATTAGAGCTAATCATAGAGCCAACAGTTTGGGGAGAGGGGTTGGTGGGCATAAAGTGCCCCCCCACACACTCCATGTTCTTTAAATTTTCTTAGAAGCCCTGGGGGTAAGGACAGAAGATGGGGAAAACAGAAATGAAGCAGTAGTCTATTGTTGAGGCGTGCAGAACAATAGAACAGGGTTTCCATAAGCCACCCCCAACCTGAGTTTCCTCCAGAGTGTCTGCTCGAGGCTGTGGCTTCCTTTGTGGAATTCTGGGCTTAGTCCTGATCATGAAGGACACAGTGCTTGATAAAATGGAAGTGGCGGGATCTTTGCAGGAAATTGACCCTTTTGGAACGCTTGTTTCCAAATAAGTAGATTTCTCAAATAAGACGTTTCCCATCCCATAAATATTTTATTTATATTGTACTTTATGTGCTGTCACAAGCTGCTCAGAGTGCATCAGCAATTGGCAGTATAGAGATATAATTAGTAATAATATAATTGCTCTTCTTTTCCAGTTGTCAGGGTTTCTTTCCCCCTCTAAACATTCTGTGTCATTACATTATCCCTGGGGGCTCACCCCATTATGTTTCCCCCCCTTTGGAATTTTTTGCACTCCTGGGAACCATGGGATTGCCCTGAATGTGTGAAGACCTTTGTCTTGTGCGCAAGCTTGCAGGACATGGTTTTGGCTGAATTTGCATGTGCTTTAGGAGAACAAATTAGCCCAGTAAGGTGGATGCATATCTCCCAGTTTACCATCTTCAAAGAGCCTCAAAGAAAGTGGGTGGGATCCTGATGCCTAAGAATTTTGAAGGAGAAAAGAGCTTGGGAGGATTAGGAGATCTGGGAAAGTGAAACAGTGGAGGCTGAATCACAAACGGTTGGCACATGGAAAAGGGGAATATCTCCAGAAAGCTAGGTAGTCCCAGGAAGTTCTCCAATGAGCTGAGACTTAGAAAGGGCATGTGTAGGAGACAGAAGGAAGTGTGGAGAGAAATTAATTTGACTCATGGTTTAATGAAGATTTATTTAACTGTGCACTTTTGCATCAATGCCTGGAATGAATCCTGCAAAAAATTTTTTATTTATTTATTTTATTTATTTATTAAAACATTTCTATGCCGCCCCTTGCCAAGGCCTTGGGGCGGCTTACAACATTGAATACAAAATACATTAAAACAATGACAATTAAAATATATACAGTAAAATAAAATAAGCCGCCCTGGCCGAATAAAATTCAATAATATTAACATTTAAAATGCTGCATAAATAAAAAGGTCTTCGCCTGGCGCCGAAAAACAAATAACGACGGCGCCAGGCGGACCTCTCTGGGGAGCGCATTCCATAACTTAGGCGCCACCGCTGAGAAAGCCCTCCTCCGAGTAGCCACCCTCCTAATTTCCTTCACTGAGGGCTCCCGGAGGAGGGCCTCTCCTGCTGATCTCAAGGGGCAGCTGGGCATATATGGACGTAAGCGCTCCTTCAGGTAACCTTTCGCAGCTCTCTGCATGTTTGCAGTGGAGTTTTTCAGTCCAAACGCTGCCCGTTGGGCTGCGGCAAAACCAGTTGCCAAAGAGGGTTTTTATCCAATGTAGTCAATGTCTTCTCTGCTGCATTTTCTTGGCCTTCGTAGCAACAGCTGAAACCTCCCTTCCCCACTTCTATGGCAGGTCGCATGAACGTCAAGCCTGAAGAGTTAGAAGCGATGATCAAGGAGGCTCCGGGTGCCATCAACTTCACTGTCTTCCTTACAATGTTTGGTGAGAAGCTGAAAGGTAAGGCTGAGCAGCGCTGCGCCCAGTATGACTCTCTCCCACAGAAGGCTGCCTTTTGGCCACGTCTGAGGCCCAGCTTTTGGTGTCCTTTTCAGCACTATGGCATTTCCCTACTCAAAAACATTTGTGTCACATCTCTTCATGAATCTTGCCTAAGGTGACAAACCTCCACAAGAAGTCCAGAATATCTCAGCTGCACAAAATGACTAGCAGGGAAGCCGAGGTGTTTGGCAAGTGAAAGGCCCTTGGCCTCCCCATGGCCAAAATCAGTGCCAGATGCAACTTGTTTACACCGCTCTGATGGGCTCTATGTGGTCCTTCCTTTGAAAAGATTTGCAGCTGCTGAAAAAAGCAGCACCTGCTGTTTGGGATGGCTTCTGCAGACCACATCACACCAGTTCAGGCACGGCTGCTCTGGCTCCCAGTTTGTTTCTGAGCCCAGTTCAAGTCCTACATGGCTTGCATCCAGGACTGGCACTTCCTCGTATAAACATGCCTGCATTGGAAACCGTCACTGGGAGCCACAATGTATTCCATGACTTAGGCTGGTGGGAGCTTGAGGCAGGGTCTTTCCTACAGTAGCACCTAGAAGATGGAACACCCTTGGAGGCTCAGCCTAGCCTTTTCTTCCTGACAATGTAGATGCAGGAGAGTTAAGACTGTGTTGCTTCGCTGGGCTTTGTACAGTCTCGAAAAATCAATTTCCAAATTTAGTGCAAGGAATGATTTCGGCTCTGTTCTACTGCTATTGTTATAATAGAGCTTTATTTTAATTTATCTGGATTTCATTGATCAGTTCCAGCATGTGGAGGGGCTATTGGTGATGTGAAGGACAAATGCAAATAGCACTACTAAGGTCATTCCAGGGGAAACCTACATAACTGAAGGCAAAACCTGGGATTGGGAATTATTCAGGAAAAGAAAGAGCACACACCTTCAGGCTACTAGGTTTGGCTTGCTATCCTTCATGAGAACCAAATTTGTCTGGTTCTATAATAGGAAGTCCTGACCCAAGACATTTTGTTGCCTGAAGTAGAATCCTAGTAGCCCACCTGCAGTGCGGTGCTGAAATGGTATAGAAAGACCTAAAAAAGTTAAGTCCTATAACATTTCATAACAAGGTTGTAGATTCTCCGGGTCCAAATCCAGCCCACCAGGGGTTCCAGCACGGCCTCTGCCATTCCACGGATCCCTTGCCTCCTTGCCCCTGCTCTTTGCTTTCTGTTGTTTAATGGGTGGACAGTCCATAAGACAATCTCTCCCCTTATTCCACGCCTGCTAAATCAGCTCCGGAGTCCTTATCAAAAGGCTTATGGAAGTCCAAATAAACCATGTCTAGCCGGTCATCCAGTCCACGGGCTCCAAGAACTGTTCAGAATCAATGAGACGGGAATTATCTTGGTGGAAGACATGCTGATACACTTCCAGATGCTTGCTATTCTATTCTATTTTATATTTATATTTATTTATAGCAAGCTTTCGTATACCGTCCGTGACCAAATGGTCTCGGGACAGTCTTACAATAAAACAAAACGGAGCACAGCCTCTCCGGCGCTGCTTTCCAGGGATTTACCCAGAACAGATGAAAAGCTACCTGGCCTGTACATTCCAGGATTCCTCTTGGATCCCTTTTTTTTAAAAATGGCATCCCATGGCACTTTCTCCAAACCTTTGGTACAGGAGCCAGTCTTAGGAATATGTTACCTAGTTTTGGAGAACATCTTGGCCTTCAGGAGAGGCAGCAAAATGGCATGCCAAGGTCGGCTTCCAAGCCTCTTCCAGCTCGCTCGCTCGCTCTCTCTCTCTCTCTCTCTCTCTCGCCTATTTTTTAAATATCCATGCTTAGGGGGGGCTCCTGCCGCCCCCTTGCTGGAGAGAAGACAGAGCGGCCTTGCATGCTCCGCCGCCCTGCTGACATCTAGCTTTGAAGTGCGACTCTGCGGCAAGCCCTCCCTGTTGATTAGCTTCCGCATAACACGGTCTCTTTCAAGAAGAGCAGCAACTTTGTGCCGTAGACAAATTGCATTTCTTCTGACTCTTTGTAGAACAGAGACCCATGTGGTTGGTATTAATGCAAAATGCTGTATGTTTTCTTTTGCTTAGCTGCTCATCTGGCATCAGGAAATGTTTGTGTGTGTGTGTTCAAAGTTCCCAGTTTATTTCAAGAATCCCAACCCTCTTTCCCCACTCCAGCCCTGAACCAAACTGGACTGGTTTTAATGGGTTCCCAGAATAATTAATTGTTGCACAATAGGAAAAACTGGCTTTCTCTAAATCCACGCCATTTCTCCTTTGTTGAGAAAGGATGGCCAAAACTTGCCCTGCAGCTCCCTTCACCATTGTAATTTTTGGTGCACAGTGCAAGAAAAACGTTTGGGCCAATTAAAGAACTGGGCAACCTTTAAAGAAAGGATGCGAAAGGCTGTTTCATGCAACTCATCCCACGGGAAGGACGCGACACACTTTCTCACCGAGGGCATGATCTGAGGGCCTCCCAGCGTTGTCTGGGGTGCATCTCAGCTCTCCGACCCTATAATCTCAGAGCTGTCCCTCTGTGGCCAAGTGCCGCCTTGCCCCGTTAGAGCAGGCCTGGGAAGAGGGGCAGTCTGCTTTCCCCGCAGTCACCGAGGCAAAAACGGGGGGATGCCATGGGATGGAGGGAAGGTGGGCCTGAGGACAGCCTCCAGTTCCTATGGCCGACCCACGTTCTCTCTCCCCCTGACAGCACTTCGTTTGGACCACCGAGAAAGTCCGTCTAGATAAAAATCACACTGCAGTGCGTGGTGGCAGTGGAAATATTCCTCGTTGGTCCTCATTCTGCACATAGGATGCACAGGGATGCTTCGCCGTGGCTGCAGGGTGCAGGCTCATTTCCCGCAGCCACGAGGGCACTGTGCTAGGGCTCGAAGGGCTGGGTTCTGATCGCCATTCAGCCAGTGAAGCGCACTGGGAGACTTTGGGCAGGTCACAAACCCTCAACCTAACCTACCTCACAGGGTCGTTGTTGCAAGGATGGCATGGAGAGGAGGAGAACCCCATGAGCTGCCTTGGGCTTCTAGCCAGAGGGAGAAAGGCAGGGTAGGATTAATGAAGTAGCCAGAGCAATAAAGTGAGGCCAGAGGAAAGCTTGTGAACTACGGTGTGGACGTAAAACAGTTGTAGATGGACACAGCCAAGGTCAGGTGGGCATGGAAAACATGTCTATTCCATTCAGCTGTGAACGGTTTCTAAGTGGAATCTGACATTCCAATTCCTTGGTGCCTTCAGCTCCTTTCTAATCTGGCTTTTTGTTTCGATTTGTTTTCATGTTTGAAGCTTTGTTTTCAGTTCCTACGCTGGGGGCCCCTTTTAGCTTCTAAAAACATTGGTGCATGCGACCCAGTGTTTTCCCAAATGAAACTATGACTCTACCTGGACCCCAACTCTTCTCCTGTTTGCCTGCCCCTCCTTTTGGGCTCACAGATTCCAGAAAAACATAATTTCCATAGAACAGATTTCAGCTTGTACTCTCGTGCCAATGGGCTGGGGGCAAGTCCCCTTGAGTTCAATGGAGCTTACTTCTGAGTAGCCACACACAGCAGGCGGTGTTGGCATTCGTGGTTCTGCATTTCCTGCAGTCCTAGGTGTATAAAGAGCCCTTTTGATACTGGGGTTCCTGATCCGGAAAAGAGTCATCATTCCATCGTGGAGGCACGTGGCCATTTGCAGCGGCTATTTCTGAGGCTTCTGATCTGATGCCCTCGTCGAGCGGGGCATAATGTCATATGCTGAAGGTTCTGGCTATTTCGACATGGAATGGGGCTCTCTCGCTCTTCCTGCCGGGTGACGCCGAGCTGCGTTTGACATCCAGGGATGCAATCTGGCTCTTCCCTGGTGGTGGAGCAAAACAGCCACCCTGGAGCGGAGCTGCCCTTGCGCCCAAGGCCTGCCTGGCCTTTGCTTTCTCCTTAGCCACCCCCTGCATTTTACATCATCTCTCAGGTGGCAAATCTAGTCAAAATGCAAAAACCAGCATAGAAAGATACCAGAGAAGAATCACAGTGGCCACACACAATGAGCCTCGTTAAAGCATTTCGTAAAAATCCGAGGCCACTAAATGAGGGGTGCAGAGACTTTTTCCGCCCAGGCGGGGACTATCCTGGGGAAGCTCTCGGTGGGTGCATTTCAGCACTGGGGGGACCCAAAGCAAGAGGTGCAGGGCTGGGTGTGCGAGGTATCCATCTGGGGGCAGGAATTCATTCAGTTCCCTTGACTCAGCTGCCCAGACTGGTTCCGGGGCTCAGAGTCCAAGCCCCCTTGGAGGATGCCCAGCACTCACTGGGAGCTTGCCAGGATCCGAGCCCATGTGCCACACCCGAAGCAGAAGGAGTTCACCAGTTGCATAACCTTCGTTCCACGAGCATTTGCAAGCTTCCAATTGACAGAATCTCAGTTTTCAATTTGTGAGGAGGAAATAAAAACTCGGGTCCGTGGGAAAGATCAACCGTTTGAACCTCTGCTGCTTGCTTTATCGGTGACCCAGTACCTGCAGTCGCTAACGATAATGCACTACTGGGCAGAGGCAAACTCAACGGCAAGTTCAAGGCCCATGTGCAGACACTTTCGCAACCTGCTAGTCACGTACACCAATACAGAGTGTTCAGTTTCCAGATAGTGTTGGTACAAGAGCATCTCGATATCTCTAGGCATGAAAGAATGTTCTAAACCCATCAAAAATACTGGAAACAATAGGATGGAAAACATCACTGATTGCTGCATTGATAGGTCTGTCTAGCAAATTCTTGACAGTTCAGCTCAGCCTCTGTGTCTGTTTAGATACGCAAATGTGTCTGATGGAGGAGCCATCCAGGAAGCCTGGTTTGGCAACTACACTCTGCGGGGGCTTGTTAGGTGGGCCCATTCAGAAACAAATAGACAGCATTATTTCAGTTTTTCTACAACTGATAAGAAACATAGAAACAGAGCGAGTGAGAAGGGGTTCCCGGGCCATCTAGTCTGACCCCAGGCTCCAGCCGGCTCCGCTCACGACATGCCCACCATGTGGACGTCCAGCCTATCCTTGAACACCCGCAGCGATGGGGCCTCAGCCACCTCCCGGGGAAGCCCATTCCACCCCCTCGGGGTCCCGACGGTCAGGAAGTGCTTCACACAGGCATTTCCTCACTGATAGTATTAGTGAGGCCTCTCAGTCTAGCTAAGAGTGCCCTCTTCTTAGCAGCGGCAACACTAAACAATGGCCTGACTTGGAAAACTGGTGCTTTGTGAGATGGAGGCGCAGGTTTGCTTTTATAGCACAAAAGGCAAAAGCCAGGATTTAGCTGAATTTTCCCAGCGCTCTCAGCTTGGCTCACTCTGCAGGACTGGGGCAAGCACGAGAGAGAGTTCACAAGGCCTCAGGGGCAGCTTCCACTGCAGATCTAGGTCATCCCAACCCTTGGCAGGGCCTAGGGCAAAAGGGACAACCCGGAACTCCAAAATTGCCAGCACATTGTAACTCAAAGCCCTTCCTACTGCCTGTCACCAAGCCTCTGTGGGGGCAATGGAACCTTTTGCAAGGGGGGAAATAGAAGGGCTGAGGAAATCAAATGCACGAGTGCCCTTCACTTGGCACTGGAAGCTCCGGCTGGACTCCCTTGGCACTGAAGTGACTGTTCCACATCTCAGGTGCTGAAATGGGCCAACTGAAAAGATGCTGTTGTGGGTTGCTTTCTGCGGGGGTGGCCAGGGGTCCTACGTTCGAGAAGGTGGCAGCCTGTGTGTAGAGCTGTGTGGTCCAAGCCTGGATTTTGAGAACTGGGCCAGTTGATGCAGGGGGGAGGAGGTGGTCCTTGTGGGACCAGGCATGGCAGACTAGCTCCACGGGGGCAGCCCACACGGGCGTGGGGTGGATGTCCATCATGAATAGTCCATCAGCACACAGCCTCTGCAGATACTGGGCGCTGAGCTGCTGTCCCGGGAATTCTGGCACTTCAATACTTCGCCAAGTTCATGGATGGAGAACTCCTTCCAGGCTAAGGGCCGCATCCACTTCGACAGAAGCTCTTCAGGAGTGTCTGTACCCTAATGGGAACCCGAACCTGAAGGAAGCAGGGACAGGACCCCAAATACCATGGGAGAAAGCTCTGGGACACTGTGGAGGGCAGCCAGCCTGAAGAGAGGCGATTCAGCCTCTTAGAGCGGGTGGAAAACTGCACAAGAGCTGAGACACCACTGAAGGAGTGGTGGTCGAGCGGGTTGCACTGGGGCAGAGGCCCAGCCGGGTGGGGAACCAGATGGGGTGGGGGGTGCTAGCCGTCCAGGGCAGCACTGTCCTTTGAGTGTATCACAGGGGGTTGAAAAAGGGGGATTTCCAAGGAATCCAAGCCTGACTTGTGAGAGGTGCAGCCACCTGAGGCCTCTTCCCATGTCCAAAGCGTGCGGTCCCAGAGCGGAGAGAGTCCCAGCGCTCGGCGTGCATGGATCGGCCTGCAAGGACATGCGCAGAAGTCTTCAAGACATAAACTCTGCTTGTTTGCCACATAGGCACAGACCCTGAAGAGATAATTCTGAATGCTTTCCGGGTTTTCGACCAGGAAGGAAAAGGTTTCATAAAAGCAGACTAGTAAGTTGTCTCTTTCCTGTTTATTCTCTTGCTTGCATGTTCACTTTGCCTTATCCAACTTTCCGGCTCGCCATCAGTCTATTGAGTTTGGCACGGAAGTTGAAATGGATGAGATGCAGGGCAAAGACTGCCAGGGAGGGGGAGGTATTGCTGCGGCTGCGGTTCAAATCTGCGGAGGGGAAACGGGAAGGCTCCAAGGGAAGGACTGAAAGGGAGGAAACCTCAAAGAGGCATGTTCTCTGCTTGCGACTTCATCACTTTGGGATGGAGGTGGTGCAGCAATTTCAAAAAGCCCCAAACCATCTTCCTCATCATTGCAGAATATTTATTTATTCTATTTATTACATTTCTATACTGCCCATAGCTCACAGGGCTTTCTGGGCAGTTTACAAATATTAAAATAATAAAAACAATTCTTAAAATACTTATGGAAACAGTACAAACCACATACACCCCAAATAGTATAAAACAACAGTGCAATAATCAACAGTCAAGGAGAAATAGCCAGATGCAGCGGCAATTTCTGCACAACATTTACACTGGTTCAGCCCTCCTCCCATTACCACCCCTTTCATCTTTGTGGGAGGACTCCCTGAGAAGGACATTTGGGGATATGCAAATATGGTCAGGTAGGGTCAGGTATGGACATTTGGGATATGCAAATATGCTTGCATGGAGCCAGTCTCAGGACTGGGATGCCAAAATGTAGGGAAGAGACAGAATTGGAATGTCAGACAAAGGGAAATTGAAGGTACCGAATAGGGAATGGCTCAGGAGGCATAACTGGAAGCAGGGGCTGGCAGGGAGATGGGGGGGGGGCTATCAAGAGAAGAGGACCCCACAACTTCAGATGTGTCTACTCAGAGGGTGGTCACAAGACAAGTATGCAGGAGGTTGGACAAAGGCAGAGCAGCTCAAGCGAGTGTTGGATGCCAACCTACTGCCCTTGAAATGAGTCCGACTGGGACTCCCATCATCCTCAGCCAGTATGCCCCATGGGGAAAGCTGGCCTTGACCCTGGGGAGGGAATCCTGGTAGCTGTGCCTTCCAGCCTTATGACTGGGTGACCCTAAGAAGGCCATGGGGCTACAGAAGGATCTTGCAGCGAGGAAAGGGGAACCTGGCCTATTTGTCTGAACCAACCAGCCCGTTCCGGAATGAGTTTAACCTCTGAAGTCATTCACTTTGGCCCTCTTGACATTTGCTTAAGAAGATGAATCAAGAGTTTTATTTGGATGGGGTGGAATATATTTCATATTGGATAGACCAATGTTGGCTGGTCTATCCAATATGAAATACATTCCACCCCACCCTGCCCCAGCTCTGCAACTGGATGCAATCGCCTTTTGCTGAAGGGCAAAACTGAATGACAAAGACTGTTGCCAGTCATTTGTTGGAATGTCACACTAGCTAGATAGGGTTGGTGCCCAAATCCGAAGTTGCGAATTAACATTAATCAAACCCTGGGCAGTGAAAAGCATTCTTTCAAATCCAAGATTTCCTGTTGTTGTTTCTGGAAGATGCTACTGTGTGAAAACTTCCCCGGTGCAAGGGGAAAAAAAAAACCTACACAAAAACTGAGCGCCTTTTGGATGATGGATGGGTGGCTGGGAAAAAGATGGAGAGACTTCCGGAGAACAATGCAGGGCTGGATCGGGACCCTAAGCCTGTGGTGCTCCACAGCTGGGTGGATGTGCTCCATGATCGTGTGAGCTGGGGGAGCGAAGGAAAACACGCACTGCCGTCTGCTCCCCCCCTGCAGTGCGGGCGAGTGTCTGCCATGGGGAGCATCTTGTGTTCACGTAGACACCCTGTGAGAAGTCTGATTCTCATGGATGCAGTACTCTAGTTGGGCTCTGACTAGTGCTGAATAGAGGGCAACTAGCACTTCTTGTGTTTTGGAAGCGATGCTTCTGTTAATGCAGCCCCAAGTAACGTTTCTGCAGCCAGATCACATTCTTGGCTCGTATTTGGCTTGTGTCCTGCAGTGATGCCAAGATCCTTCTCACTTGAGCACTGTGGAGCCAAGTGCTCCCCATCTTGTCACGATGCAGTTGGTTTCTTCTTCCTAAGTGCAGAACGTGACATTTGTCCCACTGAATTTCGTCCCATTCTTTTCGGCCACCCAGCGCTCCATCCTACCAAGATCGCCTTGAATCGTTTTTCTGCCTTCCAGGGTATTCGCTCTCCCTCCCACTTCTGTGTCATCTGCTAATTCAAACGGTGCCTCCATCGCCATGCTTGTCCTCCATTTTGCCTGCTTTCTTGAACATGGGTCCCGGAATAGGCCTAACGGAGAATCTAAATGTAGGATATATAAACAGTGGATTTTCCTTGCCTCCACACAGAGACAAATTACCCTCTCAAACCACCCCTAAGCAATTGCCATGACAGAACATAAGGTTTCTTGATGTGGCCCTGAACAGAGTTCTGAGCACCACAAACCCAGCCCTTTAATGCAATTCCATGACCATATTTGCAATGCTCCACTTCTATTCATATATTTCCCCAAATACCCACATTTGACTCTCATCATTACTCACAGTAGCCTGTCCATCGCTTTGAAAGCCCTACCTCTTTCAAGTTGAGGGTTGCTATTAATTAATTGTACTTCTCCATATTAAAGGGAAAAAGCCAAAACCAAAACAAAACAAAGGGCGGAGGGAAGCAAGAGCATAAGAACTGTGCCACAACTGGCCACACTTGACCTTTTAATAAGAGCCTTCATCTAATTAACATCCATTTGGGGGCACTTCATTTTTTCCACTGTGTGTTTTCACTTCTCGCTTGGAAAAGCGTGATTCATTTCAGAGTGCTGGGAGGATTCTGCAATAGCAAAGTTTCCTTTCTTCATATGTACACAAAGAGACTCAGTGTGGTGTCGTGGTTGAGAGCAAGGGGCTGGAACTCAGGAGAGCCAGGTTCTAACCCCCCCCCCCAGCCCCAGCCATAGAGCCCACTCTGGGCCAGTCACAGACTCTCAGTCTGGCCTACCTCACAAGGTTGTTGTTGTGGGGATAAACTTGAGAGCAGGAGGAGAAGACTCACCTAAGCCACCTTGAGTTCTTTGCAAGAAAAAAGGAGAGCTATAAATACCAGTCGTAAAACTTTCGTTTCACAAGTGTTTGCTGACTTCCTCTTGGCTCAGCCACTTTCAAGGCTGGGCCAAACATGAGAGGAAGTCCGTTAATGCTAGAGGGATGGATTCTGCTAGCTTTCCCAATCCTGTGCTGGAAGGCTGTTACTGCTGGTCCATGTGGACAATATTGGGTTCGATGAACTCAGAGCCTCACTCAGAATAAAACACCTTCCTATCTATGTTCCCCGTGCAATTTCGTTTGCCCGGCCCATTCAGTTGCTCTTGGCCTGTTTTCCCCGGAAGGCCCAGTGGGTGTCTTGGGAAGCGCTGGCTTGGGGAGACGGTGCAATCCATGTTTGCGCAGTGCCATGGCTGTGATCCGATCCAGGCCTCCCAAGGGTACAGAATACTCGGTTCACGAACACGTCTGTGCGCAAACAATTCGGTTCGCAAACAGAACGTTTGGCCAAATTTTGCTTCCGTTTGCGAATTCCACATCGGGTGATGAACACGGTCGCGGCCATCTTCCCCACTCTGACACACGGCCGCAGCTCCCTCTAGTCAAGATCGCGGCCACAGACTCTCCCTCCAGACAATAACCTCCCCCGACCCACCTTCCTGCCCTCCATGCCAGAAATCATCTCAAGCAAGGTTAGTGTTCTCTCTCTTTATACTGTACTGTACTTTGTTTCATATTTTGTGGTTTAAAAAAATCACATATGGTTCAGAACGAAGTAACCTTATTTGCACTGAACCTTATGGGGAAATTTGACTCGGTTCACGACCAGAATCATGGAACGAATTAAGTTTGTCAACCGAGGTACCACCGTACCTTTTAAAGAAGAAGAGGGGCAGCTACGGGCCGCAAGAGTGTGGAAGGCACTTGGTGGGTCTGTGAAGTGGTCAAAGGTTTCCAAGAGTTTCATCAAGACCTTAACAACGGTGCGCGCTGCTCCACATCTTCTCCAGGCTGAATTGTGTGCCGGGTCTCCTCAATTAATATAACACACCTGCCCCGCCCCCCGCATTCTGTTTTAAAAGTGGCCCTGTAGGATGTCCTAGGAAACATTTTTCATCTTCTCTTCTTAATATTGGAGACAGAGACATTGGCCACAGCCGATACCATCTCATGTCCCACATCAAAGTTGATGGGCAGGGACTGGTTTGTGTAAATCCGCCCTGAAAGACATGGATTTTGTTTTGTGGTCCTCCCGCTCCCCCCACTCTGAAGTAACAAATAACATGGAAACCAACAACTGTAAAAAGTTCAGAGCTTCTGAGTTTGGAAAATCTGAATCTTCATTTCTCTGTAAAATAAATACTGGAACATGCTGAGCTCTTTCCCCAGACTTTCAGATGTGTGATTACGCCAGAGGCTGATGTGTGGCTTTTGTGGCATCTCATTACTGCTGATGCTCCCCAAGTCACCATCAGCCCCCCCCCCGCCATTTCTAGCTTCAAATTCTTTCCAAAAACACGGCATGTGCGTGAATGGAAGTTGTCATCCTTTTCCAAAGAGCAAGGCTGAAACACACGCTGCTTTGGGGACACAACCAACAAAGGCCTCTGAGGCTCAGTGGTGGGAACACCATTCAGGAGACTCTTGCAGTCTCCCTCAGTCGGCTGGCATGGATACAGCACGGGGAATGTGGCGCGAGGGACTGGGAGGCCTTAGCAAGGTCCGAAAAGCTGGATCCAACCCGAGGCCAGTACATGGCCACATTCTCTTTCCACGGGGGGGCAGCCTGAAGTCACCCAGCAGCCCACAAGAGGACAGGAGCAATGCGAGCTCAGGAGGGAGCGTATCACCATAAGGACTAGCAGCTTTGGATAGCTGTGTGCTAATCCCCTCCTGAAGCTGCCCAAGTTGATGGCCACCCCTTCTCTCCCTTGGTTTTGCTTTGCACAACATGAAGATTTTATCACCAGACATTCTCTTACTCAAGCACGTGCAATTCTTACTTAGAAGGCCATTTTAAATGGTTCAACATATGGTTGTTTAATTGTATGCCCTTTTTATCTTATTTTACTTGGTGTATTCTCTTTTTCCTTATCGTTGATCTTATGCTTAGTATCGCTTTCATTTTTACTGAAAGTCCATTATTGTGGTTTGCTTGTGCATGGTGAATCGAACCGAATCAAGATGCACTATTTTAATTGTCGTTAATGTTGTTATATTAACAACAGCTAATGGGGCAGCCTACAAGTCAAATAAATGAATGAATTAATAAGGAAGAAGTCCTCTCAGGGGTCTGTCCTGGATCTCCCACCGCCCAGCTCCATGGGACGGCCTGTCTGTCCCTCTTTCTCCCTTGCCGGAAGGGAGACTGGGAGCCATACGGACGGGTCCTGCCCAGAGCCTGCTCCAAGCCCCTGCCAAGAGCCATAGAGGCTTCTCCCCTTCAGGCTGTGCATGCCAGCGACACCTGAAGTGCGGGAGGAAAGCCGGGAAGAAACCTCCCCTCCACAATCCAACTTAAGCTGGCGGCTTTTCCTGGGCATTCCTCTTGTCCCAGCTCCATATACTTTCCATTCCTGCTTCCACCCGTCTGCAGAAACATTGCTTTGAAGAGAAAGGGAGAATTCTGCCATCCCTGAGAATTACAGCAGAATGTAGCAAGCACAGAAATGCCTGTTATCTTCAGTCACGATAGTGGTGAAGCGGGACTGAGACTCAGGCGATCCGCCATGGAGCCAGTGGGGCAACTTTGGACCAGTCCCAGACTCTTGGCCCAACCTACCTCACAAGGTTGTTGTTCTGAGGATAAGGTTGAGAGCGGGGGTGGGGAGCCAATTTGAGTTCTTTGAAGGAAAAAAGGTGGGATATAAATCTGAATGAATAAAGCCAGCACGAATTCCCACTGGCAATTTGTTGCTACCAATTCCTGCTCGTTTCAAGCACGGCTGGACTAAGGAATGCACCCACAACCCCTTCCTTTGCTTGTCACCCTTAAACCAGCACATTTTCTTTTATTTTGGGCAGCATGAAGGAAATGCTAATGACTCAGGCAGATCGGTTCACTGCGGACGAGGTAAGACCAAGTTCTTCAGCGCACACCCTCTGGCGAATTACTGGCTTGCTTAAGGGCAATTTCCAATCTTTTTCTTTTTCTTAACCATCCTGAACATGGAATTTGACTTTTCTTTTGCCACTGAATGCCAAGTTTCACTGAACTCAAAGATCTTTCCCCTTCTGAGGAACTCATTCATTTATTTGGGGTTTTCTATCCTGTTTAATAGTTCAGGGCTCTCAGAAGACCCATACAATAAAACCCAATAAAATAGTGTAACAAAAACCAGCCATCATTTTAAAACAATAATATCAACAATATCAATATCAAAGGTCAATTTAAAAGCAAGAACACTAATCATAAAAGCACCTCAATAATCAATAAAAGGCAACCAACATAAATAGCAAAAGAACAAATACCAATAATAAACAGTAATCCATATGTATCAGTTTCAGTATAATAAAAGGCAATATAAAGCCGGATGTTCATGAACAATTGAAATGGGGAGAGAGTAAAAACCTGGAATCCGTCAGGGAATGGGAATCTGTTGGAATACTGGGCTCTGTTCCCCAGGCTGCAGTCCCCTTGGAGCAGCCCAGAGTTTGTGGGGGGCTCCCCGGGAATCCGGCCCCGCAGGCCAAGAAAGGCCCCCTCTGGCTCCAGGAACAGCCAAAAAGGTCTGCTCTCAAGGGGGTTGCCAGGAAAGGAGCTGCCACAGCGCTGCCCTCCTGCACACGAGTTGCTGCAGCCGCCATGGGAAAAGGCTGCCAGTTGCTCAGCCAGGGCCCACGAGTTGATATGGGCAGCGCACCTCCAACTGCAGGGGGAGAAAACCCACAGGCCCTCAGAGGCACGACTTCCGGGAAGGCTCATCCCAACCCACAATCGACTCTCTTAAGCAGTATTAAAATAAGCAACAGCAGCTAACATTAACCCTCAACGAGGGGGTGTGGGCGTCCTCATTTAGAGAGGACAGTCCTCTTTTGGAAGGGTTCCTCTGCTGGAAGGACGCTCCCGTCCAGGCCCAGTTCGGTGTTCAAGAACCATAAAAGGAGGGAGGCCGCACAGCCTTGAGGACGCGCCGTGGCAGCTCCTGGAATGCGGACCGAGAGCACGTGGCCCCGTCTTCTCCAGCATGCTGAAAAACATCGCATTTATTTGCTATTTAAATTATTGTGATTCTTCCATGCATCGATGCATCATGTGCAATGTGCACAGGTGGATTGTATGTGCGATCGCTGTCCTGTTTTGTCCCTTTTGGCGATGGTGCTAAACGAACACCTGATTTCTCCCTCTGGACAAACACGGTGTTTTCATTTTTCATTTTTTTAAATTTCTCATGAATCCACTTTTGGGGGAATTTTGTAGCAGAGACTTGACCTCAAGAGTGATGGGAAGCTGCAGTTAATCTAAATGGTGGACTACTATCCAGTTGACTCTTAGCCACTGGACCAAAAACAGAGCAGCGGGGGGGGGGGGCTGGAAACCCAGAAGAGGCCCGGCAGATGCTCATAACCAGGTGGACTCCAAATGCTGTTGATTTGTGCCTTCACCCTCTTTCAGCATTGGACATGCTGACGGGAACTGCAAATCAACATCTGGAGAACCCACCTCAAGTTGGCCACCTCTTCGCCAATCCACAATTGGCCTTCTCCACCCTCAAGCTGGTGTCATCCTTTTCATAAAATGAAAAGTCCCACAGCTCTCCATTGTTGGGAAAATTCAGATAAATCCTGGCAGAAAAGGGTTGCTTATATGTGCCTTTGTGTTATAAAATCAAACCTACACCCCTTTCTCAGAAAGCAGCAGAATTCCAAGCCAGGTTACAGTTTAGCATTGCTGTTACTTTAAGAAGTGGGAACTGAGAGCTTGCCTAGACAGGGCTCTTGTTTTGCTGATCAGTAAGAACTGTTCAGGCTGCCAGGTTAACAGCATTGCAATTACCCTCATTTGCATGCCAAGACCCACAATAATCCCTGTTCCTCAGTGATCGTTACGTTAATCTCCTGCAATCAAATGCCATTGTGCTGAGCCCCCTCTGCAGACCTCTCACTTCTTCTAACTGTGTTCCCCTCATTTCGTCATCAACTGCTGGGCCTATGTGACTCAGAATCTATAAAACACTCTGTGTATGCTCTAAAAGCTTCTATTGGCGGTGGAAACCAGTACCCGGGAGCAGGTTGTCGCAAGTCACTGCAGGGGGCCTGGGTGATCTCGCCCATAAAAACACCAGGGTCCAAAGCGATTCAATCTCTCCTGCAGGTCCTGGAGATTCATTCTCGCCATTATTAAAGAGACTCTGACAGCATCTTCCCTCAGAGATAAAGCCCCCGAATCTTTTTGTTTCCCCCTTTCTGCCCATTTTCCTGTTCTGTCATAACATTGCAGAGTTGAGTGATCCAGAATGGGCCATGGTCTTTCAACTGTAGCTGCACCATAGATTTCATGACAAAGATGCTGCCCAGGAATGAGCCAGGAATGTACAGAAATGTTTACCGATTTTCTGTTTCAGACAAATAGATGGAAAGCGTAATTAAGACTCAAGAACTCTGCTCTGCAATCCTATGCATGCCCATGGAAAGAATGGCCACTATTCACTAGGATCCACTCTCCGGAAAGTGGATATAGGACAGAAGCCTGATTGCAATACATAATGTGCTGAATCGGTACAGCTTCCCAAAAACACAGACTGCTTCACCAGCATCTCAAAATTCTTGAATGTCAACAGCGATTAAGCTCAGGAAAATCTGGTAGATGCTGGGTTTGAGCCAACCGAATCATGCTTTAACTAGACCCACTGACACATAAGTTAGTCTTAGTCTAACTAAGTCAAGACCAACTTCATTGACTTAGTTAAGACTTCACTCTTAACTGACATAAGTCCCATTAATTTTAATGGATCTACACGAAGCATGACAAATTCTACATCCAATCCAACATATGCTTTGCCTTCCAAGAGCTTCTTACAATGGCTCCTGCGAGTTAAGCTGCCAAAAGATTTGGATGTTGTTAAGAAATATATGGCAGATAATAAAAGGAGGAAAGAGAGCACTGGAATGGAGCCAACCAAGAATACATATTAGGAGTGGCTGGTTCTTCTTTCATAAATTATCTGCCGTCTGTTGCAAATACTGCGGTAGCCAAGTTTGCAGAAGACCCTGAATTATACAAGATGGTGATGACGCAAATGGGCTGTGAAAAGATCCAGTAGAATGCCTTGACAAAGGGACCGTGGGCAGCACAGGTCCCGCAGGCTCCCTAGCACAAGAAATCTTGGCTTCCAGCTCAAGCCCGCACAGGCCTGACCCAGCCTTTTGCATGTCTGTGTGGAAATGGCCAGAGAGGAGCTTTTCCCTGCATCAGACACTTTCTCGCTCTGACTTCCTTTGTATATTCCTCAGGTCAAGCAGACATTCGCTGCGTTCCCCCCAGATCCTGCTGGCAATCTTGATTATAAGAACCTTGTTTATGTTATCACGCATGGGGAAGAGAAGGACTAAGAGAGGCTGAGAAGACCCATCAAGGGAAGGCTGGTTGCCATCACCTCAGCTTGATGCGCAAGCCAATGAAGTCTGTGATGAGATTAAAACCATTCAGATTAAAGAATCTGAATGAGATTAAAACCATTGCACTAAATGTCCTTGGGTGCTTAAAAAAATAAAAGTGGAAGATACCATTTGTGTTGATCTTTCCCTCCCTCTCCATTCTCCCAGTTCACATCTTCTCATTTTCTGTTGTTGTTCTTGTCGGCAATATATACATGGAATGTTCTTGATGAAATGGTTCTTTTATGACTTGTTGACACATCTAATGTTCACCAGATGGTTTACTGGCCAGTGTGATATTTCTTAACTTCTTCCCTTCCCTTTATTAAACTCTAAGAACCCTCCCTTTTCCATCACTTGGGGGAAAGCCTTGCTAAGCAGACACAAATTCTATTTATAAATCTTCAACTGGGTTTAATTTGATCCCAAGCTGGTTCCCAGGCCAGTTTTAAATTGGAAAGGCCAGCTGAGAAACCAGTAAATTGAAATAATGAATGTGTTTTTTAAATAAAGGATATCTCTGAATCCCCGCTAGAAACCTGCTCAAACTGTAAAAAGCCTTACAGAATTCCAATGCAAACGGGATGCAGTTAAATTTACCAATTTCAGTTCCTTTGAGCTGCTCACTTTTCCAGTCTTATGTGCAAAAGTTCACCCTGTGCATTAAGTTTTTTTTGGATTCATCCATTTTCTTCATTGATTTTTTAAAAGTTTGCCTGAACATTGGTTTGCCTTTTTGTGTACATTTCTCTGGATGCACGCACATTTTATATGCAAACATGGCTACTTTTTCCGAGCAATTTCCCTACTAGAATACATTTGAAATGTCACTTTTAGCAATATATGCATTTTGTTAGGCACCTGTTAGTTGGAGGACCCCATTACAAAATTTGGAGAAAAATGAGCTCTGAAGGATAATTGAGCTTCAGTTCACATATTGGTTCAGAAATGTGAAATTGGGGGTGTGGTTAAAATATGAACCAAACGTTCAATGCATGCCTGACTTGCCCTCTTTCCAGAATTCTGTTCCTGAGGGGAACAAAGGAAAAAAAATCCTTCTTAAAGGTTTGCTGCTCCATTAGCTCTTTGTCCACCCTAGTTGCACTATGCTTTGTTCTATTCTAAGCTATGTTCCAAGCCTAGTTATGAATGAAGTTCGTCACAAATGAAATTCATCACCCTTAGATAATCCCTTCACAGTCCCACATGTATCAGGATTCCCCTAGATGAGGGAATGGCCACTGGAGGGGAATTTGTCCCTCTCATCGGGCCAGATGGAAAGCAGGCAAAAACGTATGGATTCAGGATATCCACGAGCAAAAGAAAGCGTGCATTCCTCTTCTTGCTGACTGTATTGGTTCCCTGAACAGGGTGCCCAACATTGTGTGGGTGAGTGATGCATCAATTCCTCTCTCTGAATCAAGAACCAAAGGCACCACCTCTTGCTATGGATTTTGCCAAGCTCCTCTCCCCCTCGCTTCAGGAGCACCCAAGGCTCTGGGCACCCTTCTTGGGAGAGGTGAGTCTGCTTCAGAAAGCCGGACAGCAGGAGCAGGGCTGACTTCACAGCGAGTGCCCTTGCTGCACTTCCTAACAAGCCAAGGGCCATAAGGTGTCAGCATGGCTCCAGGAATCTAGCCTGGGTTTTGGACATTGCAAAAGTTCACTATGCTGCCTGTTGAACCTTAATTCCTTAGAGGTTAATTCCTTAATTCCTTAAAAAAAAAAAAACAACTTAGAGGTTCTTTGCCATTCTACTGGTACAGCTCATCCAATACCCATCTTCTGCAGCCATCTTTTTCAGGAGGGTGTGTATAAATTGCTCTAACCTAAATACTAGGTTTTAGTAAGGCTCAGCGTACTAAAAACAAAGACATCACCCAAAGTCAAGGCTGTGGTTTTCCCAGTTACAAGGTATGGCTGTGAAAGCTGGACCATAAGGAAGGCTGAGAGCAAAAGGATTGAGGCCTTTGAATTGTGGTGCTGGCAGAGACTCCTGCGAGTCCCTTGGACCGCAAGGCAATCAAACCGGTCAGTCCTAGAGGAGATCAGCCCTGACTGCTCTTCAGAAGGCCAGATTCTGAAGGTGAAACTCAAATACTTTGGCCACCTAAAGAGAAGGAAGGACTCCCTGGAGAAGAGCCTGATGCTGGGAACAACTGACGGCAAAAGGAGAAGGGGGCGGCAGAGGATGAGGTGGCTGGATGGGGTCACTGAAGCAGTCGGCGTGAGCCTGAGTGGACTCCGGGGGATGAGGAGGGCAGGGGGGCCTGGAGGAGTGTTGTCCATGGGGTCGCGATGGGTCGGGCACGACTGCAACTAAACAACCACAAAAATACTGGCTGGGTAGTGGAGTCCCTCAATAATGGGACCTGCTGGCATAAGTCTTGGCCATGTCTCCTTCAGCACAGCTTCCAAAATGCTTTCTTTGGAATGTCTAATGCTACAAACTGCCCGAGTTTGCTTAACTGGCTCCCCTCTTAAGCTTCTGAAGCAACCGCCAGCCTGGAGTCCCTTTTCGAGTGGCGTGGTCAAGAGAATGGTGTGGGAGGGAGTGAATGGTTTGCGTCCACCCGTCCAATTTTGCGAGTGATCACATCAGTCCGCGTAAACTGTTGGTGCTCTGAGCTGCTTCAGATGATGCGGGCAAGGGGAAAGATGGCTAGCTCCTCACACACACAAGGTCTGCTTCCCGCTCCTCCAAATGGGAGCGGGAAGCAGACCTGGGCCCCCGTCCACAGAAGCAAACAGCCACGCAGAGACACGGCTGGCATGCAGGGTGCATTTCTCTTCTTATTTAGATGATGATAATAGTATTGCAGACTGCATACCTTTGCTTAGTTGTCAATTCAGGTGGAGGCTACACCCAAAGTATTTGAAGAAGACAGAACCTTGGAGGAGCAGCAAAAAGGGAGATCACATACAAGGACGATTCACCGGAGAGCATTCACCAGTGTTGTATTCTAGTTCGGGGTGTCCAACCTGCGGCCCAGGGGCCACATGCACCCCACACGGCTATGAATGCGGCCCAACACAAAATTGTAAACTTACTTAAAACAATACGAGATTTTTTTGCAATTTTTTTTGTAACTCAGTCACGCAGTGCTCCAGTGTGTACTTTGTGGACGATGCTGTCATGTCACAATGCTATGTAACCTAAACGCACCTGTGCTCTCCCTCTTCGTACACATGCATGGCTTCAGTTTTACAGCTGTGTGCAGCTCCCAGTGCGTTGTCTTCCAAGCGCAGGCAATGAAATGGGCACCACCAGACGTTACATGTGCTCATGGTGACTTGGCGAGCAAAACACAGCTATTATCAGTAATCTTTTAAATCTATAATCTTTAAATCTATAAAACAATTTTATACGTTTTGACACATTGGCTAAACACAGTCCTGTGGACAGTGCAAAATATGCAGCCTTGCTTCTTGATTTGATACAAGAATTTGAAAACAGATTTCAAGGTTTCTGGGGAAATAAGCACTATTTTGGTATATTTCGACTCCATTTTCAGTTGACATAAATACGTTACCTGCCAATTTTCAAATGGAATGCACAGAGCTGCAATCTGACATCCAACTTAAAGAGAAATTTGATCATGGATTTTATTTATTTATTTATTTATATCCTGCCTTTTTCCGACAAAGGGCTCAAGGCAGCTTACATCTCCTCCTTACATTCTCCTCCTCCATCTTATCCCCACAACAACAACCCTGTGAGGTGGGTTGGGCTGAGAGTCTGTGGCTGGCCCAAAGTCACCCAGTTGGCTCCATGGCAGAGCGGGGACTCGAACCCAGGTCCTCTGAGTCCCAGTCCCATGCTCTTCACCACTACACCACACTGGCTCTTTATAGGATTTTATAGGTCCTATCATCCCAGATACAAATAGTCCTCGCTTCACAATCACATCTTATTCATGTCTTCACTTTTTGGAAGCACCTACCTTTGAGAGCAACTATTTTCAAGAATTAAGCACGCTAAGAGTAAAATTAGAACCAGAATATCTGATGGGCACCTTGAGAACTCACTGAGAATTTCAACTACTTCCATCGAACCAGATATTGATCCATTAGTTTCTCAAATACAATGTCAAACATCCCACTAGTTTTATTTTGCCCTCTTTTACTTTTATAATCAAAAAATCAAAAAATCAATGAAGTTTTATTACTTAGATATGTGCATTTTCTCTATTAGTGATCACAAACTTTGGACTTGCTCAATGATTTTAAAAGACTCTCCGAGCCGGGCACCATTTAATTAGGATTAAGTGAGGACTTTTTGCTTATCTGTGGTGGCAGATATCACGAAAATTATGCACAGACTTTTTTTTTTTTTTTGCTTATCAGATTTTGTTAGTGTTTGTATGTGGCCCAAGACATTTTTTTTCTTTTAATGAGGCCCAGAGAAGCCAAAAGGCTGGACACCCCTGTTCTCAATAGTGATCTGGGATGCAGGTGAAAGCTGGACGGAGAAGAAAGCAGACAGGAAGAAAATGGATGCATTTGAAACATGGTGCTGGAGGAGAGCTTTGTGAATACCCTGGAAAAATGAAGAAGCTGGTCCTAGATCAAATGAAGCCAGATATTTCCCTAGAAGCAAAAATGACTAAACTGAGTCTGTTGTACTTTGGATATATCCTGACAATACAAGGATTACTGGAGAAGACAATCATGCTAGGAAAAGCTGGGAGAAGGAGAAAGAGACCGAGAAGGAGACCAGACTTAAGATGGATCAGCTCCCAAAAGGAAGTCCCAGCCTTGACCCTTGAGTTAACAAAAGCTAAGCAGGGCCGTCAAAGACAGGAGCTTTTGGAAGGTGCTCATCCGCCATAAGTCAGGGACAATTTGACAGTATGTAGCAACAAATATTATTGCTTGCACCAAGAAGGACAGGCTGGCATGCATGGTTTCTGACCCCATCCTTCCTTCTGGGACATTTGCCCATGACTCAGATCCGCTGTAAATGCTTGAGCGAGTGGGAACTTCAAAGAATTCCACAACAGTCAAATAAATCCAGATTTCTCTCTCTCCTGCAAATTTGGCAGCAGACTGGCTTTTCCCCCAAGCTGCGCCACCAACTGGAAACGTGCATTTTCCCCTGTAGGCAAAAGCATGAAAACTTGCATTCACG